AGGACCCTGGAATCATGACCTGAGCCCAAGGCAGACGCTTAACGACTGAGCCACCCAGGCGCCCCCTGTGATTTGTTCTAATGAATTATCAAACTGGGGGAGGAGAGGTCATGGAAACACCCACATTTGTAGTCAGCCAGGCAGAAGTGTGGGTAGTTTGGGGACCCCATTTGTGGCTGGTGTCTGAAACAGGGGCAGTCTTGTGAGACTGGGCCCTAATCCTTGGGGTCTGTGCTAACTCGGGGTAGTGTCCGAACTGAATTGAAGTTGGTTGGTGTTGGAATAATGTATGATGTCAGCAAAAAAACACACAACTCCCAATTATCCTGTAGATTGCAGCTCGAACATCACTTCTTGGGAACACTTCTCAGGCTCCCAAGACTAGCTCAGACTCTGGTTTTCCTTTATAGTGTATATGAAGAGTCATTCCTGTAATTATCTAATCACTGTCTGCCCCTTCAATTAGACTATAAGCTACCTAAGGGCTTATCTTCTGTTGAGTAGTTATTTGTTCCTAAATTTTTAATTAAATATCCAAAGCTAGAGATCCTCTTATATGGTTCTTGTGAGGCCTGAAAGAGAGAATATACACAATGCACTTTCACATACTAAGCATTTCGTGTGTTTGCTATTATTATTGCCCATCCTTAAGTCTCTTCAGTTCTTAGTGTACAGTAGGCTGCAAATATGTTAATTTATATACAAATTCAGTTCATCTGATGTAAACTGTATAGCAAAATTCCACATTACAGGTTCATTTTTAGAATATCTTTTTATTTCCTTTAAACGGCATCACGCTAAAGGACCACTTCCAGGTATGATTATAGGCTAGCCTCTGAATGAAGTGAACCCTGTGTTGCTATCACAGATGAGAGCCTATTGCCCAGAAGTGGGTAAAGTCAGGTGAAAACCCCTTCCAGAAAAACCCACGCTTTATTCTTTAAATTTTTTTTTTTTAAGATTGTATTTATTTGAGAGAGAGACAATGAGAGACAGAGAGCATGAGAGGGAGGAGGGTCAGAGGGAGAAGCAGACTCCCCGCCAAGCAGGGAGCCCGACGTGGGACTCGATCCCAGGACTCCAGGATCATGACCTGAGCCGAAGGCAGTCGCTTAACCAACTGAGCCACCTAGGCGCCCCATCCCACGCTTTATTCTTATACTTATCTAGATATTATAGAAGTGAGTATGAGATATTTACCAAAAAAAATCAAAATATTGAAAGGGAAAGTGTTACTTTGGATTTGAAGTATATATGAGCTTTTTTCTCTTTAAATCTGTATAGATGGCTTATGATATTTAGGGAGAAGAGAAAAATCACCAACTAAAAATAATTGGGAAAGCCGATATGAATTAGCACTTATAATTACTTAAATCCAAATATAGTCAGAACAGAGCCTTGCCTTAGAGTCCATTAGAGAGTCTCAGAAGTCATTTAAAATTGTAAAAGATTGCCTTAAAATCTCTAATTTATATGTAAGCAGGTGTTTTAAATCAGTGTATTTTTACAAGGTACAAACACTCCACTTCAGGGTGACAGCATGGCACTTGATCAATAAACATTTGTTAAATGAATTCAAGGCTCTCAGCACCCAGCACTTAACTGGACATTTCCTTTCCGCTAGGCATGACGTTACATTTTATGCATACACACATGCAAAAACAAAGAAACCCTCAGAGGTTGGTATTATCTCATTTTAAGCAATGAGGAAACTAAGGCATAAAGTAGTTAAGCACCGTGTTGACATTCAGAGAGCAATTAATGGTAGAATTAGAATGTGGACCCAAGTGCGTCTATCCTCAAAGCCCATGCTCCCATGCCTACACTGGCGCTTCCCTAATGAATTAATGGAAGGATGCACACAATACAAGGTTAAATCTCAATCCTTTATCATATAAATAGGCTCATATTGAAAGTGAACAAATGAAGCTTATTAAGCACTTAATACGTCCTTTTTCTTTATTTCCCATCAGAAAAGGCTGTAATTCCGCTCCAAAAATTTAAAAAATGAATAAATTAAACTCCCCCCCCTTTTTTTTAAGATGTTATTTATTTATTTGAGAGAGAGAAAGACAGAGATAGTGAGAGAGAGCATGAGCAGGGAGGAGAGGGAGAAGCAGGCTCCCTCCTGGGCAGGGAGCCCAACGTGGGACTCTCCCAGGACCTTGGGATCATGACCTGAGCCAAAAGCAGATGCTTAACCAACTGAGCCACCCAGGTGCCCCAAATTAAACCCCCTTCTTAATGGCTTTAGTGTATGTGTGAATTTTACTAAGATGTTATTTACCAGGCAACCATTTTCCTTGGTTTTCCAGTTCCATTAAAGGAGACAAGTGGGAATAAACAGTAAATAGAAGTGATTGATGGAGATGTAAGAATTCAGAGTGGTCCAAACAGGATCTTAGATATTAAACACCTAAAAGGGATGGGGTGCCTGGGTGGCTCAGTCAAGCATCTGCCTTCAGCTCAGGTCATGATCCCAGGGTCCTGGGATCAAGCCCCGCATCGGGCTCCCTGCTCAGCGGGAAGCCTGCTTCTCCCTCTCCCAATTCCCCTGTTTATGTTCTCTCTCTCGCTGTCTCTCTCTCTGTCAAATAAGTAAATAAAATCTTTAAAAACTAAAAATAAACACCTAAAAGGGAATGTCTCTTATAATGCTCTACTTATTGCAACTGGTTCGATTTTAAAAATAAATAAATAGGGGCACCTGGGTGGCTTAGCTGGTTAAGCATTTGACTTTTAGTTTCAGCTCAGTTCATGATCTCAGGGTTCTGGGATCAAGTCCCCATCTGGCTCCACACTCAGTGTGGAATCTGCTTGAGACTATCTCTCCCTCTCCCTGCCCTTCTCGCTCTCTCTCTCTCTCAAATAAATCTTTTATAAATAAATCAGTTCCAGGAAAACTAACTGAACTCTTCCATGTGCTCTCTAATAGTCTATTAGCAAATCTTAAAAATCACAAAATGGTATGCAGTGAGGTCTTCAGGTATTGAGGCCTGGACAATTAATTAGAAAACTGCCCCTTCCTGAGCAATTTCATCCAGCAAGATTCTGGGGTAACTTACAATCAAATAAAAACAGATAGATGCAACCACTAATATTTATGAGTTGGTAAGAGCTTGCAACTAAATGGTTATATCTAAGTAGATGCTCTTTAATAGAAGAAAAAGACATATAAAGAGTGTTCATCATCAACATGAGACTGTATGCCCATGATCTCTACTACATTAAATGCTACAGCTTACTGAGATGTAGATTACTTGAAACTAATGAATGTCTATTGTAGCAGGACACCTCTCATTCTGCAAAGGAGAGAAATGAAGCAATCTCCAACTGAAATCACCCAGGTCACCCACCCCATCTAAGGTAACCCTAAGCTGGATAATATTAAAAGCCCAGTACTTATGAATTCTTTCAAAAGTTAAGGATGAAAGAAAATCTACTGTTTACCGGTCCTAAGGTCATATGCGGTTCCTTAGCAACCAGCATGTCTTTCGTGTGACTAAGAGTTGATGGAAAGGGGGGAATGAAAATGAAACCACCAGGGCAATTCCAGTTCACAGAGGCAGGGCTTCCAAAGCACTGTGTACCCCACACTATTGTGTTAAAGAATTTCCTTACATTGGGAAGAAAGAGGATCACTGACAAGGCATAGCAAAATGTTTCGAGGTACCAACTGGAGACCCTGAACCGAAGACCAAGATAAAAGTTACCTGTAACGGTTCTTGCATAGAGCACCTACCCACGCCAGGACAGGAAACCCTGCAGCCACTCTCGACCTCACCCAGCCTCACGGCTCTGGTCCTAAGAGGTGGTTTATCTGGGAACTTTGTTGAGATGCAAGCGTGCTCCCAGAGGCAGCATTTGGATCCTCTACCCCCTAACACATTCCTCTCCGCCCCTACCCTCGCATCATTTAGGGCCCTGATTTTTTAAAACAGGAAGGAAAAAAAAAAATTTCATACTAGTTAAAGAGTGTGAGTTCTGGAGCTACCTGAAAAGTTAGTAAGAAGCTTAGCGATTTCTACATACATCTTTTCAATCCTGTAGCCAGTCACAAGAATCAAGAAAGCAGTGTTCTTGCAAGGAACTGGAGCTCAGACATTTAGTAAAGACCCGCAGACTGGCACGCTCAATTTATAAGGTAATAATTCCTGAAGGCTTTTTGTGTAGGCAAATAAGGCTGCAGTCTCTCAAAAACCCTCTTACTGGGCCCCGGTGGTTTCAAACTCCAGTGATCAAGAGAGTGCTTGTGAGTATGTTTGAGGTCTGGGCTCCCGCCCCCAAAACAGGTTGTGAAGTACTTACAGCCGCTGGCCCGCGAGCCCCGGGCTCTCCTGCGCGGGGATCTGGGGCGCCGCCTCCACCCCGCGTCTGGGACCTTGCAGCCTGCCTGGCTCCGGGCGCCGCCCAGGGGGGTCCCGGGCCGGGCCGGGGGCGGGAGAGGCGCCGAGCCCGGAGCCCACCACCCGAGGGCGGGTGAACATAGCTCTGAGTCCACGGGTCCCGGCGCCCGCTGCGGGAGGGATGCGGGCTGGGACGCTTGGCGAGTCTCGAGATGCGATTCCGAAGGGCAGGGGCAGCGGTTTTAACAGCTTGAGTTTCGATTTCCCGCTACCAGCTGCAGCTGCGCCCGCCCCAAAGGACTTCCCCATCGACGCTCCCTTCAGGCGCCCTCTGACCTTATCCCCGGTAACAGCTCCCGCTGCGCCGCCCCGGCCCCGGGTGCGGAGTGGAGCTGGCTCGGCCGCTCTCAGTGAGTCGGTTTAAGGTCCCACAACCACCTTAGAGCATAGTAAAGAGAACTGTCATCAGCCGCCGACACCTTGTGAGCGAGCAGCAGCCGCAAGGGACCTAGAATCCTGAAAGATACTTTAGGGACTGTTGAACAGGTAACCCTAATTTGTGGTTACTGCTGGATATCTGAGACCGTGAACCATATATTAACCTTCGGACGCCAGAGATCAGGTGACTAAATAAAATCATCCAAACAAAATTTTGCCTTTATCAGTAATGATTGCTGTTTGGTTGTTGTGCAAATAGTTTCAAGTTAAGGAAGCTAAAGTGAAATCAAAAGCCAAAGGAAACCCACAAGAGGAGAAGCAAGCCCCTGTTACTTCGCCTGTTACCATGGCGGCATTAGCGTTTGCTAATGTCTCCTACAATGCAGGTCTGGGGAGGCGAGAGACGTCTCTCATTTTTGTATAGCCGGCATTGTGACGGTCATGATCAACCCAATGCACATCAGAATCATAGGGGAGCTTTTTAAAAATATGGATGCTGAGACTTACTCCCCGACCTACAGATACAGAGCCTTGCAAATCCATATATGAGAAAGTCCCTATACCATAGTGGAATGTCTTGCACAGACCAGCTATGTAATCAATATTTCTTGAATGTCTGATCAATTACTTAGCAAGGCTGCCTGGAGAATCATTTCTGCCTACTGCTCAGCTTGCCCAAGGATTAGCATTTCCTTTTTTTTTTTTTTTTAAGATTTTTATTTATTAATTTGACAGCGAGAGAAAGACAGCGAGAGAGGGAGCACAAGCAGGGTTTGGGAGAGAGAGAAGCAGGCTTCCCGCTGAGCAGGGAGCCCAATGCGGGGCTCCATCCCCAGGACCCTGGGATCATGACCTGTGCCAAAGGCAGATGCTTAACCGACTGAGCCACCCAGATGCCCCAGGATTTGCATTTCTAACAAGTTTCCTGGAGATACCAATGCTGCTGGTCTTTGGACCACCCTTTGAGACTTTGAGAGGGCCGCTGTGGGCAATGTGGAAGGCACAGAAGGGTTTTCAATAGGGAAGTTATGTAATAACATGTTTGAGAATGTTCTACCAGCAATGTGAAAAGGAGACTGAAAAATGAAGAGACTGAAATCTGAGAGATAAATTAAGAGCCTGGTTGTTATAATCTAGGCAGGAAATACAGAATCTGAACTAAGGCAATAGCAAGTGAAACAGGAAGCAGGGAGCAAAATCAAGGCATTCTGAATGAAAGGTTAACATGGTTAGATAAAAAACTAGATGCAGGGCGCCTGGCTGGCTCAGTGGAAAGAGCATGTGACTCTTGATCTTGGGGTTGTGAGTTTGAGCCTCACATTGGGTGTAGAGATTACTTTAAAAAAAATAAAATTTAAAAAAAAAAAACTTAAACACAACTAGATGCAAAAGGGAACTGAGCTCCAGAGGTAGCAAAGACAGATGGGGAGACAGTTTTTGCAGTACTCTGAAACTCAGCTCTGCCACATACCAGCCCCATGACCAAGGACAAGTCACTGATTTTCCCAGAGGCCCAGTTTCCTGATCTACACTATGTGGAATGAAGTTATAATACTTACCTTGTGGGGTACTGCAAGGAATAAAGAGATGATCCACATCAGTGCTTCTCAAATAGAGTTGGAGTTGATTTTGCCTCCAGTAGACATTTGGCAATGCCTGGAGACACTTTTTATTGTGAAGCCTAGAAGGGGACTGAGGTGTATCTCCTGACATCTAGAAGGTGGAGGCCAGGGATGCTGTTAAATATCCTGTAATGGACAGGACAGCCTCCCAGAACAGAGAATCATCCTGCCCAAAAAGTCAATAGCACTGAGGTTGAAAAATCCTGATCTATGTAATTTGCCTAGCTTAGAGTCCCAGTAATTTAATGGTTGCTGATTGATGGTTACTATAAGGTTTTAGTTTTGTGTGTGGGTAGAAGGCAGAATCATTGATCATTAACCAGGAGGAGGGACAGGTTTTTGGCAAAGGTGAAAGACTTTGATTTGGAAACTGTTGGGTTGCAGGTGCCTGCAAGGTGAGAAAGGCAGTTCAGGAGCCCACCAAAAAGTGGATCTGGGTGGTCTTTCTGGAGGCCATCTGCTTCAGAATGTCGTCTGCTAGGAAAAATACCACTGGAACTTTTGTTTCAGAGAAGAAAGCAATTGTTTTGGTGATTGGATTCAAATGAAAGATTGAATAAGGGAAAACCAGTTCTTCTAAAGCAGCTAGTAATAGTAATGCTGACTTCAAGAACACACTTAGTTGACCGTTATTTATTTTATAACCCAACCATGTAGCACACCAAAGTTTCAAACATGAGATAGATGGGACGCTTGGGTGGCTCTGTCGGTTAAGTGTCTGCCTTCATCTCAGATCATGATCCCAGGGTCCTGGGATTGAGCCCCGTATCAGGCTCCTTGCTCAGCAGGGAACCTGCTTCTCCCTCTGCCTGTCGCTCCCCCTGCTTGTGCTCTCTCTCTCTCTCTCTGACAAATAAATAAAATCTTAAAAAAAAAAAACAAAAAAACAAGAGATAGAAATAGAGGATAATAGGCCAAATCTAAATTGCTTAATCTGTTCATTTCTCATTTTGCTACATTCTCAAAGTATTAAAAAATGTGACTATGATTTATTACTGCAACAGATATCTACAGGCGGGCGCCTGGGTGGCTCAGTTGGTTAAGCGACTGCTTTCGGCTCAGGTCATGATCCTGGAGTCCCGGGATCGAGTCCCACATCGGGCTCCCTGCTCGGCGGGGGGTCTGCTTCTCCCT